TAAAAAAAGGCGATTGCGTGGTAACTTTTTCCAGGAAATCAATATTCAGTCTAAAGCATGAGATTGAAGCAGCTACTGGTCTTCGTTGTGCAGTTGCATACGGTAGTCTGCCACCTGGTGTGTGTGAATATAATGTTAAAAAGTTATTATTGCTTATCATCGGTATTACGTTTATTAATGTCGAAAAAAAATCCTTATCTAGAAACTCGGTCGCAACAAGCCAAGTTATTCAATGACCCTAACAGTGGGTTTGATGTTCTAGTTGCAAGTGATGCTATTGGAATGGGTTTGAATTTGTAGGTAAACCTTTTTTTTTTAATTCATATAAGTATCTTTTGTTATGTACACGATTATTATTAATTCCATTGAAAATGCGTACATTTGTTACATTTAGAAATATTAAACGAATAGTATTCGAATCCATAAAAAAATATGATGGAATAGGTATACGATATATCCCTATTTCTCAAATCAAGCAAATCGCTGGACGAGCCGGCCGGTTTGGTACTGAAAACAACGTTGGAGAAGTGACGGCGTAAGTAGTTGGGAGAGTCAATAATTTTCATCTTGTGCAAGTTCACTTTTAATGGAATAAATTTTTACACGCTTCATTTATTAGGCTTGAGGACGCGGACTTAAGATATGTACATCAAGCGATGGATGCACCACATAAAGATTTGGAGGTAAATCATTCATTAATTCATGGATATATTATTTACTCTACTATTAGGCATAAATTCACATAATTTCACATAATTACACAATGAACAAAAAGATGGCAGGATTACAACCTACAATGGAAATGGTAGAACTCTTTGCCCATCAATTGCCAGATGTTAAAGAATTTGCAATTCTCTTGGTAATTTTGATAACTTAACATTGTATGATAATGTCAATGAATTCAAATAATGAATACCATTTTCGTTCGATTTAATAGGAAAAATTTGAAGATTTAGCTCGCGTAGATGGGCAATATTTTTTGTGTAATTTTCATACGCAAAAGGTTGAACTCATGATTACCTATTTACAGTATTTTCGCGAAATAATGCGCAGGAGTGTAATAAGTTTAATTTGGGCCATTATGCCTATAGGCGTTATTTCGCGAATATACGGTAATTAAATTTTTATAAATAGTCCTCATGTTTATTATTGACTTATTTTTTCCCCATATAAAGCTTATTGCAAATACGATTGAACTTATTCCCATGACTATTCCTGAGCGATTCATTTTTGTTACCGGACCTATAAACACATCAGATCAACGTATTATGAAGAACGTACAAAAGGTAATTGAATCGTTTCCTTTGATTGACAACAATCTATTTTAAACTCTAATGCTCGAATGATTAACATTATAATTATTCTCAATCAAAAGTTTGCTATGTTGCATAGTCAAGGGAGGCCCTGTCGCATCTCAAAAATCGTCTCTATTCCGGAAAAAGTACCCTATAATGATGAATTACTTGGCGAACTTGAATCCATTCATCGTACACTTATGTTATATCTATGGTTAAGGTAAATAACGGTGCCATTAATTCGATATATTTTACACTTTACTGTTGTTGACTGACGACACTTTTATGAACAGTTACAAATTTTCAGAGACATTTGTCGATGTTGATTTAGCTCGTGAAATGAAACTTAAATGTGAAACAATCATTCATGATTCTTTACAAAAGCTTAAAACCCCAAGGAGACGATATCGTACCATCACAAGAGATATCAGAGAATTAAGAATGACAACAAAAAATAATAAACATTTTACTAAACAACCTGAGAAGCCGTAGTAAATCAGTAAATTCTATATTCATTATCGTTATCGTTTCTTTAAACGACATTAATATACATAATTCATGTCACTATTTGTTGACTGCGAAGTTTACATGACAAGTAACACTAATAATTTATAAAATATAGTCAGACCTCCCTAAATGCACCCTTCGGAATCATAAAAAAAATTGAAAAGTATGCACTTAGAGAGGGTGTGCATTTATGGAAAGCAAAATATATAGAGCTCTTATAAACTATGCCGTGCACTTAGAGAGAATCTACATTTAATCCGTGCACTTAAGGAGGACCAACTATAATGCAAAAGCAAATTATTACAGATCATAACGAATTCTTGATACAATAAAGAAAAATTTCTTAATATAATGAGTTGACTCAAGTTAGTAGACAATAAATTCTCGTTATGTAGTGAATTTATTAATAAACTTTTACTAATAGCCCGGGCATCCGGCTTGTGTATATATGCGATCATTAATTTAACAAGAAAAATATTTAGACTGAGAATGATGGCTATTTATTCTATTTATTCACGCACTAAGTGCTAAAATATTTTACAAGAGTATGAGTCCATTTTATAAACAAAATTTAAGATTATCCTTTATAGCGATAGATTATGATTACCTTAATTCCCTGACTCATCCTATTTTCCGGTAATTTCCATCTTTATTTCTCGATATCACCACCACTTTTCTTTTACCGGATTCTTCTTTAAGACGTTGTTCCAATAATGCCCTACGTTGTGCGTCATCAAGGGCAGGGCATGGTAAAAAAGGTGGTGCAGCAACAGTAAATATAGCAAATAAAGCCACTGTTGTAAAAAGGGACAATGTAACTTTAGATTTTTGTGCGGATGTTAGTCTTGGAGGTAATGAACGCATTTGCTAAAAATTATTTATTTGCATTTCATCAAAAATAGTGCCGATTCCGGATCATCCTGAGCACCCCTATCTCATTTTTTTTCAATTTTTTCACATGAAATCTATGATAATTTCCGAACACGTGATCAGCAAATTTGAAATAGTCAAGCACTATGATAGTTAAAGTTAGCATTCCCCTGAATGGGCAACGTCCTTGATCCGTTTTTACCTAGATTTGTACTCGGATAAAGTTTTTATAATATTTACCTGGGTAACCCGGATATTTTAATAATATCCCGGTAGCGATTTTTTTCGGGTACAATCTCTAGTTACCATGATCTTATAAACTTGAAAATGATAATACTAGGAGCAGTAACGCATCATTAGATAAATGGGTCAGTAAAAGTAATGATGAACAAACTTAATATTCAAAAATAATTTTTTTTTTTTGAATAACTTTAGAAACTTGAGTTCTGTTTCGGAAGCTGCACGCCATCTTTACTTTGATCAACATAACGTTGAATAAATGCGCGATTAATGAATGTAACTAAAAGGGCGAGATTAAATACATCCGTGTCGATATCTACACCAACGAAACTTACAAGTAATATTGAAATTTTGTATTATTTAGATATTCGAAAATTTTTAGAATTCCAATTCTCCAAACTCCTTAAAATTGGCATCATTCTTTTTTAAACAATCTGACTCTTACAGACTGTCAACTTTACCAGCGTACCGAACTGCTTAAGTTGAAATTTATGCACACATAGTAAAGTATTCCTTATTTCTTATTGTTCTCCTTATAAACAATGAATTGCATAACAATAATGATATCAACAAGTAGCTGTATTGCACTACACAACGCAAATTGAAGAGGCGAATTCTCACTGTAAAAAACGTAATAATAAATCTTAAAAGAATCTCCAAAAAACCATGTAAGAAGAATAAATGGGCTTTTATGGTTTTGTCATGGGGATGGAATGAACAATAATAAGAATAATCGATTAATAATTTATAAATTCTTATGATAGTAAATTTGGACCATACCTAAATCCCGAGACGGATTGATTTTTATAATTTTGTACTGCTTGTGGCATAGGAAGCGTGCATTCGACTCCAAGTGCCTTAAATTTATAAAAATTTATGAAATTCTTATGTACCAAGTATTAGAAAATATAAATATTACAACATACCAAATATCCCAAAAGCTCTACAAACCAAATACGGTCACCAAACAAATTAGAAAAAAATATTAAATGTCCAAGCAAAACTATCAAACAAGTCATATAAGGCCTAAAAGATCTCCAATTCCAAAACCAGCGTTTACGATTATGAATTGACAAAGTTGGGGTGCGATATCTAATACATTCGTAAAGTAGCCATATTTGAACTACAATCATTACTATACTTTGATATAGAAGTACAATGTCGAATCTTTTGCCGATCCTGTGAACGATAAAGAATAAAAAAACGATAATTCAGGTTTGAACCGAAAAGTTAACCCGCATTAGTTATAATTCCAGTCAATTTTTTTGTTTGTCGGGATTTTGACCAAAAACCCGATGATTTAATAAAATAGAAAAAAAAAGCTAAAAATAAAAACTTACCAAAAGAAAACACGAATTATACTAAATTATATAACGATAAGCAAATGTTAAAATTAGATCAAAAAGCATGAAAGTCAGAGAATATGCTATCAATGAATAACAATTACGGCAACTATATACCCTCACATTTTCGTAGGATAAATACCTGCTAATCAATAATATTCCAGGAGTGTCTAAAGAAAAGCCAAAACTAGACTTTGTTGTTCTAAATTTTATTATCTGATCTATATAACCCAGGACTGGTCCGAAGGTCATTAAGATTCCTAAAACAATATTTGACATTTTTGTCAAGAAATGAATCTACTGTCATACGTAATATCGATCGATATATGCATTTATACTTTCCACTATAATTTGCTACTATTACATGCCGTGTAACATTCGTTTATTTTCTGAGATGCCCGTCTAATACTGAGCTTTCGTCAGAATACTTTAAATCCTCAATTTTCTTTTTTAAACAATCTTTTTTTTTTTTTTATCATTGGAGAATAGTGAAACCGTCATTTCGTTAAATTCATTTCAAAACTTCGAGTACCCAGATTATGTATAGTAAAGGTATTTTTCATGTGAGGAGGATTTTTTGGTTTGCTTAAAATTTTCTCTGATGCTAAAATTTTTGAATTCCTTTTAGGTTCACAAATTGTACTTACTCCTGAGGAAAAACGTGTATATGGTCAACTTTTCCAACTTGCTGATGTTAATAAAAAAGGTGTGATCGAAGGGCAACATGCAGTCAATTTTTTTTCAAATTCTGGCTTGTCAGCTTCAGCTTTGAGAGAAGTAAGTTTTTCTACGAAATTTCTATGATAGCCCGATCATTTTTTTCTTTTGTAAATTTTAAATCATTATCATAAATTTAGATATGGCATATTGCAGATAGTGAAAACTTGGGTTATTTATCACAGCAAAGTTTCAGTGTTGCTGTCAAACTAATCGCTCAAGCACAAAACGGGCAATCCCCCGATCCTGCTAATATTAATGCTGGTACTTTATTTGTTATCGTAATTACGCTGGTTTTCGTTTGATCAAGTTTGATTATTTCGTAATGACTTAGTTAATTGTAACTCTTAGCTACATCTCTTCCACGTTTTGATGGTGTTTATATAATTTCAAGCGAAGACCGAGAAAAATATATACGAATGTTTATCGGGTTAAATCCTGTTAATGGCGATTTGGATGGTAAAATTTTCTTTTTTTTT